ACTCACCCACACCAATTCGAGCCGCAAGTTATCTAAAGCGGCTGCCACTGTCACCCCAGCTTGGGACACGCTGGGAGGCTGTGGTCTGTGTGTGTGTGGGGGCACCCGATAACGCCGGCAAAACTCCAAAAACCACCGCCCGTGTGAGCGGGGGGGGGGCATCCAACAGCGCCCACGACCAAGCCAAGGGAGTAAGGGAGGGGGAAAGGGGACGTCCGACACCGTCGAAGGCCACTCTGGAGTATCTTAGGTCTTCCGAGCCCCAAGCCCTCCAAGTTCCAAAGTTCCGAGAATCTCGGCTAGCAAGCCGCGCCGGCAGTCTCCGTCTCGGCAGTCCAAGAATCCTGGCTAGCAAGCTGCGCCGGCAATCTCCGTCCCAGCCCAGCGCTTTTTTTTCTATGTGGAGATGACACACAACTCCTCAACTGTCTACGTGTGGTAGTCAACTGGTTCCAGGAAGTGGAAGAAAGAAAAATGCAAGATTTCTGTCCAACAGGTAGAGTTCCTCAGATACCTTATTGATGTCTCAGTGTTACACACCACAAAGGCAAAGGTCCAAGCCATCTAGGAAGCTCCAACACCCCAGAACAAAATTAAACTCAAGCATTCTTGGGGCTCCTAAACTTTTATAGTATTTTTTTTGCCACACAAGGCTTTAGTAGCTGAGCATCTTCATCAACTGGTAGACAAAAAGACATATTGGTCCTGGGGCCAAAAAGAAGCCACTGCATTCTCAGCTGTCAAGGACCTATTATCCTCTAACAGTACAATACAATGAGAACCTTCCCTTAGTTCTCACCTGCGACACTTCCCCACTTGGCATGGGAGCAGTCCTGAGCCACTGATTCCTGAATGGGACAGACTCTCCAATTGCATTCTTTTTACGAACTTTGTCATTGGGTGATTGAAACTACAGCCAGTTAGACAAGGAAGTCTTGGCTGCGGTCACAGGAGTCAAATGCTTCCACAAATATCTATACGGCAGACGCTTCAACCTTATGATGGACCATAAACCACTACTGGGCCTACTTCCTGGGAATTGACAGATGCCTCATGTTTTGTCCCTTTGCATGAGGCACTGGACAATTTTTGTAGCAGCACACAACTACCATCTCATACATCAACTGGGTAAGAACCTGAGCCATGCTGACAGCCTCAGCCAATGCCTGCTTCTGACCATTATAGAAGACCCGACCCAAGCAGACTCTGTCCTTGACAACTTGCTATCCAGCCTCATTATAGTGGCAGAGGTCACTGGACCCTCCCACAAAGACCAGGTAATCGCCCAAGTGCTTAACTGGGTGTAGAGGGGGTGACCAAAGGGACCAGTCAATGCAGAGCTTCTGCCCTTCCACACTAGGCAACATGAACTGTCAGCTCAAAGGTGTTGTTTACTTTGGGGAAATAGAGTCATAGTGCCACAGATGCTGTAGGCCACCCAGGTATTGTAAGAATGAAGGAACTCACCTGTAGCTATGTCTGATGGCCCAACATGGGCAAAACCATTGCTGAATGGGTCATGTCGTCAGCCTTGCCAATAGTCAAGACCAGCACCCCATCCACTCCTGCACATGAATGGGAAGCACCCAAAACACCCTGGTCAAGAATCCATATTGACTTTGTGGACCCCTTTCAGGGACAGACATTTATGGTGGTTGTAGATGTATACTCTAAGTGGGTGGAGGTTGTGCTAATGACAACAACCACCTCAGATGCTGTGATCAAGACATTCCAAAAATGTTTTGCATCCCATGAACTGCCAAACATACTAGTGTCAGACATGGGCCACAGCTCATGTCAAACCAATTCGAACTGTTTCTGGTGGGTCATGGTATCTGTCATGCCCTGGTTGCACCATTCCATCCTGTCAGCAATGGACAGGCAGAGAGAACGGTATGGTCAGCAAAAGAGGCACTGGCATGAATGAGCTTGGTTTCTGAAGCAACAGCCACCAACCCACCTACTTCAAATGCTGAAACGACTGAACTGCATAGATTGGAGTGGATGCACCACTATCCTGCCTATCTACAAGATTACACATACTAAAAGCATAAAATTAAATATGCAATATTCTGTCTTAGTGGGGAGGGGTGTTACATATTGAAAATAAGTATTTGAAGTTCTCTCTCAAGTCCCCTATTGAGGCGGGAAAATACTTTATTCTGATTGGTTGACTGGCTGATAGCCTTCTATAAAAGGAGTACTGTCAGCCAAGCTATTGAGCTTTGTTACCACTTGAGGTAATAAACGAGTTTGACTGAAGATCATTCTGGCCTCGACTCCATTCTTTGCCCAGAATTTAACAAATTGGGTCAAGAATGTGTGGGAGAAAATAAGTAATGCCTGTGTTGCAAATCCAATAATAGCAGGCTACATGGATAGGAGGTACTCTTTTAAGGAGACTGCTATTGCTAAGCATGAGTTTTGAATAAAATGGGTTCACAAGAAACATAGACTGGAATTCAGGATGTGGAGAGTTTTGATGATGTTGTGGAAGATAATGACATGACTACCAAATTGGAATAAATTGTTGAGTTTGAATAAATTGATTAACTTGAATAAATTAATGAATTTGAATAAATTGATTGTTGTACCAAACATGAACATTGTGGTTTCCTTGTGTGTGAGTTTAGGGTTTGCAATTGTGGCTTTCCTGTGTGTGGGAAATAGATCTCTCTTTCCCTCCCTCCTTCTCATTTCTGTTTCTCTCTCACTTTCCTCTCTTTCATCCTCTCTCAATTTCTCATTTCTCTCTCTTTCTCCCCTTTTCTCTCTCTCATTTCTCTTGCTCCCTCCCTATCGTTTTTTCCTTTCTCTGTCCCCATTCTCCTTCTCATTTATGTTTCTCTCTGTCTTCTCCCACTCTTTTTCTCTCTTTCCTATCTCTCTCCCCATTCTCTCCCATTTCAGTTTCTCTCTTTTTCCTCTCCCTCCCCCTCTCTTTTCTTCCTTTCTCTGTACGCATTTTCTCTTTCTCTCTCATTTCTCTCCCTTCCTCCCTCTCTTTTCTTTCTCTCTTCCCATTCTCCCTCTCATTTCTGTTTCTCTCTCTCTGTCCTCTCCCACTCTTTCTTTTTCTTTTCTTTCTTTTTCCCTTTCCTTTCTCACTCCCCATTCTCTCACTTTTCAGTTTCTCTCTTTCCCCCCTCTCTTTCTCCTTTTTCTTTCCCTTCTCCCCATTCTCTCTTTTTCTCTCCCTCATTTCCCTCCCTCCCTCTTTCCTTTCTCTCGCCCCATTCTCCCTCTCATTTCTGTTTCTCTCTGTCCTCTCCCTTTCTTTTTCCTCTCTCTCTCCTTTCCTTTTTCTCTCCACATTTTCTCTCACATTTCTGTTTCTTTCTTTTTCCTCACCCTCTCTCTTTTCTTTATTTCTCTTCCTTTCCTTTCTCTCTCCCCATTCTCCTTTTCTCCCTTTTTCTCTTTCTCATTTCTCTCCCTCCCCCTCTCTCTCTTCTTTCCTTTCTCTCTCCCAATTCTCCTTCTCATTTCTGTTTTTCTCTCTTTTTCCTCTCACTCTTTGTTTCTTTCTCTTTCTTTCTTTCTCTCCCCCCCGCTCTCTCTCTCTCTTTTCTTTCTCTCGACCTATTCTCTCTGTCATTTCTATTTATCTCTTTTTTTCTTTCTGTACCAGCCAGCTTTGCCAGTATGTCAAACCTTGTGGCGGTGGTGCAGTTTGTGTGTGCAATGGCACAACAAATCTTGCAGAGTCCTGCTTCAAGAGGCAGCAGCAGCGGGACATCTCAGAAGCGAACAGCTGATGAGCTGCTAGGTTGCAGGGTCTTATTTTCAGGAAAACATGGTACAACTAAGTATAATTGCCTGGCAAAATTAAATCCCAAATTATTTTAAAAGATTTTCAGGATTGTTTTTCTTGGCTTCCATTATATTTATAAAATGCCAGTATGTTCAACCCCAGTTCATTTCTTACCTTGCCAGTATATTCTGTTCCACGCAGAATACACAGATAGACCACTAGCCATGCCAGAATGAGACAAGCTGCTTGTTCCCATTGGATGCTTCCACTTTCCTCAATGGATGGAGAAATATTAAGGGTTTTCCTGTACCAAAAGTACTGAGTGGGTGTTGCTTTCTCACATTCTTCCTCATAGTTTGTGTGGTTAATATTCAGTGGACAGCTTGCCCATGGCAAAGGATCCTTCAAGGATGAATCACACATTAAACCCATATTGATTATTCCCAATATTGTCAGACAATCCAAATAAAAAGGCTGCAGTACAAGATATGGGGAAGATGGGTATGTGGTAAAGCTCGTGCACTGGGTTTAATCCCCAATGTGAGAAATCACCAATGACAATTTTCAGGCCAGAACTGATAGTATTGTAAATACTTAACAATTTCAAGAGCAGGAAGTATTGTACAGAGCAAATTAATTAAAAGGGCATAAAGAAAATGCTATGGGTTTGAACCACTACCTTTAGAAGAAGCATTTGAACATTCACACTGGAAGTAAGCAATCTGCTGCTTGGTTTGCTTCATTCTTGTTTACAATAAAGATTCTTATGTACCCATGTTGTTCCTGGGAGACTTTTGCCAGATCCTAGCTATGTAAAGTGTAAGAATCTTGACAATAATTTACTATCAAATCTTGGGAATCTATGTATAATTATATCTATAATTAATAAGCAACAGAAAACTATATGACAAATTGGAGAGCTGCTCCTATTCAGTGACAAGCATATTATATTACATGAACAGGGACCTGAAAAACCTGAAACATTTCTGGAGCATAATACAGTGGTTTGAGGTGTTTTTTAAAATAGTGTGTCATGATTGAGAAGAGATATTCAGTCAGGATTTGGGGAGGAGGTCAATTTGTATGAAAATCTATGAATTACTAATGAAGCTTTGAGAGATTAACATATTGAGTACTTAAAAAGAATCTTATTGTTCTCAGGCCTTTCCAAATGTATTCAACTTTGCTACATTTGTTTATTTTTAAATTTATTTGCCACCCATCTTGTATCCAATGCCTCTAAGAGGTTTACAACATGAAAAACATGAAAAACATTAGAAATGTCCATTATACAACAGCAGATAAAACCATTAGCAATCCTAAAGATAAAATGGCAAAGAAGGGCGCTGGACATATGGGATGTGGAGGTGGCATTGAACTTAGTCATCTGCCTCCAGTATGAAGCTCCACCCATGGGATCCTAAACCATTTGGCAGAGCAGGTCTTCAGGCTCTTGTGGAAGGTCAGGAGCCAGTCTCACGTCTGGGGTAAAATGTTCCAGAGGGTAGGAACCATGGCAGAGAAGACTCTAATCCTGGATCCCACCAGCTGAAATTCCTTGACTAACAGGCTCTACAGTATGTCCCCTTTGCTGTTGCTGGTAGGGCAAGCCAGTCTCATTGGGTGAGATGGTTCCTCAAATAGCCTGGAGTCATGCCATGCATGGCTTTAAAGACTATGACTAAGACTTTGAACTGCACCCAAAAGCAGACTGGCAACCAGTCGTGAAGCAGTGGTGTAACATGGGCAACTCTAGGGGTCCAAAGAACTGCCCATGGTGCCACGTTCTGCACCAGCTGTAGCTTCCAAATGCTCTTCAAGGGTAGCCCCATATAAAGTGCATTGCAATAGTCCAGATGTTAGGTGACTAGGCTTGAATGACAGAGTGCAGGGATTCTTGATCCAAGAAAGGCTGCAACTGGTGCGCAAAACAAAGTTGTTCAAGGGCTCTCCCAGTCACTCTTTTGTTTTATCTTTGACCTATATGTGTGCCACATATCCCATGCAGTTTTGTATTGTTCCCAATGTTTTCAATACTTGCCAGAGAGAATAAATGCAAAAAGGAGGACTAGATTGTTATACGTTTGAGGAGCCTTGGTGTTCTCTGAACTTGGTTGCTTGTTGACATTTCATTACTCAACAGGTAACATCTAAAGATATGAATACAACATTTTGCCACTAACTGACCATGTTGTAAGAGCTGTTGCACATTTGTTGTTGTTCTACAGAGAAAAGGATTGCTAGTTCTTTTCTATTAAGCTACTGACAGTAGCTTAAATATTTCATTAACCATTGATGATACAACCTAGTTGGATAATAAAATGTTTACAAACAAACAACCCAGTTCAGAGAGCATCAAGGAATTCACAGCTTAGCCATTTTGTTATAAGCTTGCTAATAATAATCAGTTCTGTAATCAAAATATTCCAAGGAATTGTTATGAATTATTATTTAAGTCAAGATGGCCAGCATAAGTATATATGAATTAACATTGGTTGTTTTATTCTACTAGAATCTCTAACAGCATTCATAAACTATATGGAAAATGGTGAAATATGCTGAAAGAAGGCATTCTTCCTCAACTGTAAAGTAAATTGAGATTTTCCACATTTTGTACCATATGAACCTATGCCCTGCACTGAAATAAGCAAAAGTAAACATAAGTTTTAGTCTACATCGAAGGAAATAAACTGAACAGGAGTGCATTTTTATGATAATGCTCTGCATTTCTCTCTCTCTCTCTCTCTCTCTCTCTCTCTCTCTCTCTCTCT